TACACAGTCTTTTTTTTACCTAAAGCTTTTGCTTTTCTTACTGATTTTTTATCTTCCAGCTAGCTGCATTATAAGCAGTTATTAAATTGTTTCATAATACAGAATTGCATATGGGCTACATCAATGGCACTCAAAACAAGATCTGCAGGCTGACTGGCAGATAACGAACTATCAGTTTTCAAAGTAGCTGTTGGCAGTCTGAGAAAGGACCAAGCTTACCTTGCTGTAACACACTAAGCACAAATTTAGCAAAACACTGCAAAACAGCCATTTCCTTCAGCCACTCACAGAAACTGACTCCAGAAAGTGTATTTGAGTTCTACACAGATTAAAGAACTATCACAGTACCTCAAAAAACCCACAGTAAGACTATCTTCTGGTTTAAAAATGTTTATTTAAAAGAAAAGGAGACCTATACCCAGATGGCCAGGAGAAATTAAAAAAACAACACAAAAAAACAAACAAAAACCCAATTCTTCAGTTTTCTCCCCAAAACCATTAGTCTATAATTTACCTTTCCCTTAAGTTTCAGCTTCAATGTTTTATTTAAAAAAAAACCTTGAGCTTTCTTTGCCTTTTCCTATGCTGTTAGACTTGAGGAAATTAAGTACCTTTCACTGAAGGGTTGCATGGGATGCAAGAAGAAACCGCAATAAAATTTATTCACAATATACAAGTATAAAAATATCTTGCTTAGGATTCAGTATTATAATTTAATAACTTTTCGTTGTTTCATAGGTATCTGGGAAGGGTACAGACACATGTCCTGATCCTGTTACAAGAGGTAGAATGCCAGCGTTTGGTACAACATTCCAAGAGAGAGTCAAAGTGACGTTCCTGTTTCCCCTGCAAAAGCAACAAAGACTATCAGCACAAATACTCACGTTAACCAATTTAATTAATAATTAGTAATATTAAATAAATTAGGATGCAAATTTTTTTCCTGATCCAGAACCAATGGGCTTTTTAATTTTATGTAGTTAATTAATGAAATATTACCTATTCTCCAGATAAGACTTTTTTTTTTTCTGTTACCTAACTCCTTTGGAGTTGCGTGCATCACAGAACCAACTCTACACAAACAAGAATATTGGAAGCAGAAACCCAGAAGCCTGTTGTTCTATTAGCAGTGCATCTTCTAGTCTACAGAATAAACAAGATATTTTGTATCCCAAGGTCATCTTCTAATAATCAAACTACAAAGATGCAATAGAGTATCAGACAGAATATAGGTACCTCAATGTAGCATGAAAAACACATACAAAATGCAAAGTATGCAAGTAAATCAAGATACCATGAATAATAATCATAATAGGATTTACTTACTTGAGACCATTTCCATCATCAAAGAAAAAGTATTTCGACTTCATGTCTTTTAAGAATAGCCTTGGGTTATCTCCTCGCAACATGATCTTGTCCCAAAGGACCACCTGGTTTAGAGCCTAAAAATACAATTGTAATTAAGTCAGCAGGGCACCTTAAAAGATCATATTCAGTTACTGGAATTTCATAGCATTATTCATCTAAAAATCCTGAAGTTGAAGTACATGCTTGCAATCCATAACTAATTTAACAAAATAATGGAAATTAATGGGAAATTAGTGCTACTACACATCAAAGTGTGGCACAGTATAAATGGAAACAACAAAGAACAGCCCAATAAAACATGAGAAAGCCATTCAAAAAATTCATAAGGTGTCCAAGACTTAGAAAGTATGATGGGTTTTCCTTTTGAATTGCAAAAGTAAGTTGCTTTTAAAGCACTATTTAGACTTCATTTCAAATAAAGGACTGAAACTGAACTATCATGACACTGCCTATGTATTTAACATTTTTCCAGCTTTAATGGGAAAAGTGTCTACTTGAATTGCAAGCAGAACCACAAGAATTGTGTGAACTAGTCAAAAGATGGATCCCAAATTCTTAACGTTTGAAACCTTATACTGTTCTTTTAAGTAGTTAGGTGCTAAACAGTCTTGTTTAGTATCTTATAGAACAATTTAGAAAAAGCGTTTCTCAATATTTGTGAGAACTAGTAATTTATACAAAAAAAAAATCTGAAAGATGAAAAAAGACAATGAAGTCCCAGATCCTAAGAAAGAACACTAAAAACTATTTTTGTACAAACACGATATCCACCAGCATGTATAAAATAAGTAAAGTACTTTGAAGAAAGAAAGAAAAGTAGGGAGATGGTTTCATGCAGCAAGTTAAGAAAAAACCCCAAGCCTTCACTATATCCTTGCAGTGTGACCACAGGAGCTTTAACTAGAATTTAGTGGGACCATAGCGGCATGGTGTTTCATGAAAATATTTTTTCCATAGGCTGTTCCACACAGCTCCTATCAGAGCAGTGAAAAAAGCCTTCAGCTATCCAAAGAGAAGTATCAGTAGAAATCATTTTAAAGGATGCAGCAAGGACAATTATTTTGAGAAGCATGACAAGATAACATAAATGTATTATGGGGCTACAGCAACTGGTAGGGGCAAACACTTCCGTAAATCCATGAACAAAAGACCCACCACACCTGGCCAGACCAAAGGTCACTACATCTTGTTTCTAACAGCCCTCAACTCCAGAACGTTAGGGAAAAGAAAAATGGACAAAGCAAATAAGTGAAAAAAATAATTTACAGTCCACTACTGTAAGTGAACAAGGCATGTGCTGCTTTTCTCCCACCCTGCTGGGCACCTATCAAGTTAGGTTTCGTGAGAGTGAACTTACCTCCCTGCAGTTAAACAGTCAAGAAAGTAACAATCATGAAGGCCAGTAAAAACAGCCTAAGCTCGAAGGAAATGCTGGTGCCTTAACTCGTCCCAGCAGAACTTCAGAACGTTAAAAATAGCTGCGGTACAAAAATGGGTAATTGCTTCAACTTTCTTTTTGATACTTACATTGTTTTTCGTTGAATATTCTGCAGACAAATATAGAAACAATTGTTTAACATTCCAGTCAAATATACTCTGCAGATGTATGCAAGTTAAGAAAAATACCATATTGTACTTACATAACCTTTTTTTTATTTTTACTAGATCTAAATAGACTATGATAATTACAGTTCTTGCCTTTCAACATACCTCATCTTATTTATAAATCAGAACAGTTCCAGGAGTTCTAACATATATTTTAATCATATTAAAGCGACAGGTTTTTTCCTTTTTTTTTTTTCTTTTTTTTTACCATTTATGAAATCTAAGAGCTATTTCCTCTAATGATTTAAGATTTCTATATTTGACACTGCAGGCTAGTAACCATTATCTGCTGCTAGATAATCTATTATAAAACCTTAAACATAAAAGGCAAGACAGAATTCTTCACTAAGTATCTATTTATACTATCAAAGAACCTGACTGTGGATTGAGATACAATAGCATTAAACAATACATAAATACTAAATTAGTGTACTATAGAGAGTTCAAAGAGCCTATAATATCCACATTAGAGAAGTCAGTAGATGGGAAGTATTTCATATTGGTAGGGACACCAGGAATTAGCAAATATAATTACCTATTTAATACAAAGAAAGTCAGCTTATTAGACTGGAATAAAACTCTGCTCAGATTTTTGATCAATAGTAAAGAACTGATGACTGCCATTTGAGACTGTATAATAAAGTATAATAAAGCTGATATTCTAAATACTTGTCTGTTTATTCACCAATAAAATGCACCGTGTGTGACTGCTAAGGCAAAGACCTTTTAACTCACCATAAAGATTAGCTTAACATTTTATTTCCCAGTCCTCTTTTTTTATTCTGTTAGCCACTATCTCAAAAGATAAATTCAATGGATTCCCCAACCAGCCTCAAAATCTGTTCTATCTTGTTCCACTCATCCCAAGATTGAATCATGTTTTTAAGCCACTAATTCAAGAAGCAAGTAATGAAAGAATTAAATAATTAACTGCTGTTACTACAAGAATAGCTGGAACTATTTTACTTGAACAATTTTAATTACCTAACTCCAAACAACAAACAAGATTCAGAAGATCTCCTTTGTGGGATTTCTTAACACTTGCTAAATTAGGCACGAATGAAGTAAGCTAAAAAGAGTTTGTGAAAACTTTCTCATTCCCTTCCCTTTCCCTAGTTTATTTTTCTAACTGTCATTTTATTTAACAACTAACAACTTGTTTCCATTAGTTAAGAGAGCCCACATACCAGTATGTCTTTCCAAATTTTGACCAAAAAACCTACCAGAAGTTGTATTTTACAGCTCTGCAGACTGAAAGGTTTGTTTATGCCAGGCATGAAAGATTAAGTCAGAGTTTTTGTAAAAAAATTTCAAAACTACTGCTACTATTAAAAGTCATTAAAACAGGGAAACTTCATGTCCACGTATTGTAGACTAATCCTTGTAGAAGGACATTTCTTTTAGAAGTTCTGTCCTGCCTTGCTCTGCCCCCTGCTATGTACACTGCATACAATTCAATTAATCTACTTTAAAATTTCAGTCTCTAGTTTTAGTATGTATAACCATTTTAGAGGTAAAACTCTGACTTAGGAGTTCACCTCTCCTGCTTCCAGCTGATAAAAAAAACCCCCTCTTATTCCTGTGCAACACACACCTGCAAAAATCTGATTAATGTGTTTATCCAGTGCCACATGCATTCAAGATTTGTATTTTGTTTGGTTTGCTTACACAATGTCATACTATCCAAAACAGGGAAACAGAAAGAGAGGGTAATCAATGTCTTGCCTAACAGTGACAAAGAACAGCAGGCAGGGAAAAATCTCAGGAATCTCAGCCCAGCTGCAAAGTGAGGCTTAGTGTAACCACCTGAGGTAAAGCATGCTGCCTCATATTTGCCAGAAAAGGACATATTTTTTTTATATCAACACTCTAAATCCTAAGAATGATTCCCCTCTACTGTCAAAAAACCTACCCAGAATAAAACCAAACAAAAACACTCACATACAACTCTCTTTTGCCAATAAAAACCAGACTAAAAGCGAAGCAGAGAAATACAAAAGAAAAGTTGCAGGAAGGTAACATCAATGAGAAAGAGGACAAAAAGTAACATGATAAATTTTGTAGTAATTCAGTTGCTTCCCAATGAATTTCATACTATTCAGAGTTAAACATTTGATGGTTTAACATCTAAGCAAGTAAAGGATTACAATGCCTTTTTATCTTTAAAGGAAGACAGGTACTTGTACACAACTATTACACAGACAGAACTTTGGAAGCCTCGCAACAAAATGAGTTTGAGAGGTGCATCAGAGTGTCTGGATTCAGTATGGCAGTGAAAATCGCATGTTATATAAATCCTATAATTAATCCACACCTCAAACCACCAATACAAACTTCACTTAACAGTAATACTGTCCAGATTTTAAACTTCACTTCCCATTATTAGACACAGTGCACCTCACTACAGAGCCTAATTTTTAAAAACAGGCATTAAAAAAAGAGAAAACAACTTGCCCTGTGCGATCCACTAGAGACAGAACAGCTATTCCAAGTTCTATTTTACTGCCCTAGCTATGTAAAATACTACTTTTCACTGCTTTATATTTATATTTTAAGACAAATTGCTAGTTTTCCTCAAGTCCTGAATATCTGAAGATTATAAGGTAACAAAAATAGATGTCAAAATGTTATTTCAAAATGTTCGCAAACCATTTTTTCCATTAAGGATATCTGCAGTGATGTCAAATGTGACGAATCCCAGATCACTTCTTTCTCTAGGTCCGGTGAAATCTTCTACATTTTTTCTAAGACAAAACAAAACACAAGATTACCCTTTCTCATTATTTCTCTTGCATGCATTAAATAAATTATTATTCTTATTACACATTTCCCTCATCCATTTTCCATACTTTCTTTTAAATACCTTTGGCTAAAATATAATGAACATTTACAAAATAAAACCTGCTTTCCAGGTTTGAATGACAGGCTTTGCCATCACAGTAGTCTAAGTTATGCAAATAGTCCACAGACTTTTTCCTGTGAACAAAAATCTGTATCTCTCTGTACCTAAACTGCACCACATTCATTTTTGTAAAATATGTGTTAGACATCCCCAAATATATAAATCTGACTGGAACACCAGCAGCATAGCTGTTTGCTGGCAATCATTTTCAACAGTATTTCTCAGCTTTCCATAGAAAAAAGCCTCTAGTGCTCAGTCTCATACAAGACACTCCAATCAATCTGATAAAAAGAGACTTTATGTTTGTGGTTCGCACAACTTACAAGATTTCTTCCGGGAATGTATTTAAGTAGCAGTATAAAGAAAATGCTTATTTTCTTCTATATTATGGAAAATCACATAATTTTGGAAGACTTTATTATAAATACACATTTGGAGTAATATCTGACATTGTCATACTAAACCACATTAGAAGAAGAAACTGGACAATAGCAGAGAGACAGCAGATATTTTCATACGTACTCACAAAGCTTATCAATTTACCAAAATTACCCTTTATAAAGAGGAATATCATAAACAGGTTGGAAATCAGCTAATGAACCTTAATTCCTCATATAACAAAAATTTTATGAATTATGAACTTCTTAGTTACATTTATTCCAGTTTGAAAATTAGTCCATTAAAATTTCATTTTACTAAAACTAAGGTCAGCTATCTCAAAGAAAAAAAAGTTTATCAGCAGACAAAACACTTTTGGAGATAGCAGTTAAGGAAAACACTACTAAAACTTCCCAATTTAAGCCTTGCCATGATTTTCCATCCCTTTGCAAAAAGCAACATCTTTTAAGCAGTAATCCTTATCAAGCACTTGACTTCATTTCTGAATCACTGTCAATCTGTTACAGTAATGAGCCTTAAGCCTGTGCTCTGCAGAACTTCCCAAAAGTTCAAGAAAAGCAGCTAAGGTATAACGCCTCTCATTCATACTAGAGCTGTGCATCTTGGAGAGGACTGGCACAGCACTATAAATTTCATCCAAATTAGGCGTTAGCATGCTACCTCATATGTGAGGCTCAATGGAACACTCCAAAATATGCTTTTATGCTGGTGTTACGCTGTTTGCAATCCTCAATCTAGCATAAACACGGGGTTTATTTTCCTGAGATATTAAACCAATCCAAAAGGTGATGGCAGTTGCCAATATTTATTTGCAGTCACCTTCTTGCTCAAACCCTACTGCTGGCCATCCACTTGGGGTGGTCCAAAGCTCCATGAGCTACCTTAGCTCACTAACTTGGCCAAAACCAAGCTAAAACTCATGAGCTGAGTTAAAGAGCTCAGTATCCTGTGAGCCCAAATCGCCTGTGCAGTTCTGGTAAAGGACCATATGGCTACAAGCAGCAGCAAAAACCTCCACTTCCTCATGGCAGTGGCAGCTGCTCAACTGCTTATGAAACTACAGCCCTCCATATCACACACACCGAACTTGATGGCAGTTTCCCGTGACAAAGTTTCCTTAAAAAAAAAAAAAAATTATAAAGAAGGTTTCCCCAGCACAAGTTTGCATTGGAAAATCGTGTCATGTGGGCAGCATGCTTCTGGTGTGGTACTAGGTATTCTACACCTGGTGCATTTCACAGGAAGATAAGCCATCCCAGTCAGTCCACTGCCACACGGCTCGCAAGGCAGGAAACAGGTACCAATGGAAAAATATAAGGGAACTACTAATTAAAAACAAAAGGTGCCAAGGAGATAAACCGTATGTTGGTTTAGGTCCTTGCACCTCAGAACTGTCAAAAGCAGCTCGCTCAGCTCCCCTGTAATACAGTCACTCCCCTAACAGAGAAGGTGGCTGGCGCCTGCCTGCAACCCCGGCCGT